CCCCAAAACCCCAAAACCCCTGTAAGCATTATTCATCTTAAAATTGACTACATAATTAATTAATTTCTACAAAAGCAATCATATTATATTCAATCTAAAGTTAATCATTGCAAAAATTAGAGATGCTGCTGATGTTCTAATTGCATTAATAATTGTCATGTTTAGAGGAATTCCTAAAATCGTAATTGGATTGAATTAAATCTCTTTTTCTAATCTCTCTTAAATTGATTCAATTACTCTAATAGATTATTCTATAATCTACTTTCCCGATTCTTAGCCAACATCTTCAATCTTATAGTTGAAGTACATAAATGCATCCTTATAAGTATTATTTAGTAAAGATTCCTTAATCTTTCCTGACTAGATAGAATAATCCCATTCCTATAAAAATCTCATCATTATACTCTTAATTTCACTTAATCTCATAAGATGATTATTTGATATTTCATTGATCTGAGCACCATTATAAAACAGCTCGTAAAGCAATGAAAAGGCAATTATAATTTAAAAAGCAGTTGTTACTATCAAAGATTAATCTAACTTGTACTATTCATATAAAAAGAAATACCAGGATATGAAGAAGGCTCCAATTATACAGTAAAATGCTAGATATATTGCAGCAAAGGCTTTTATTCGAACAAAAAATCTCTAGCCCATATCAAGGTACATTATTCTTAAATCCATCCAAGAAAGCAGTGTTTTAGGATCGAAATAATTAATCAATGGAAAAGTTCTAAATTAAGGTTTTAACTTATATCTATTAGGTTCTAGATGTGATTCACATGATATCATAGCAATCAATCTTCTTTTCATATCCAGACAACCTATCCCCATAAAGTACAAGTTTGTTGCCATTATGGAAGTATTAAAATAAAGAAGTAGAATATTATATACCCAATACACTGAGCTGCTGTACTTCTCTTAAATTCTATTCTGCTATGAGTCATGATAGGCTTCAATAGCTAAAGGCAGCAAATTGTGAATGAGGCATACGGGTATATATTTTCTTAGAGTAAAGGAAGGAGCAAATAGCCCACAGATTAAGAATAATTCTCTAAAAACTTATCTGCCTGGATAATAAGTAAATAGATCATCTTTCGTTGGTGTCTCTAGGAATGAAACCTGTATATCTAAGTCAGCTTTGATCTTAAATATTTGTTGATCTAATTTCTAACTAGACTTAAGAGTTTATTATTCTTATTACTGCAGATATATTTTTTAAAAGCTTTCAATTATAATTTTTTCTTTGGCAGGATCATATATATTCTCATTTACGTAGTTGTAATTAAGCAGTCTATTCTTGAAATCCTCATTTATTTTATGGAAAAATTTTAGTCTGAAGAATACATTTTCTACTTCGTTCCTAATCATGCAGTTCTTGATTTCAATATCTAACTATTTAGGAGTTATGTTAATCCAACCAACTATCCACTCAGTGTTTTATTCTTCCTAATTTAAAATTTTCTCTTTCTAGTATTTTAAAATTGAGGCTACAGTAGTTGCATATCTTACAGCAACTATCATACACCTTAGAATAGTTTAAACCAAGGTCAAAATTATTATTGTTTAAGACATAAAGCCTTTATCGTTGAGAAATATATACATATAGAAAGGAATTATCAATGAAAGCCATTGTGAAATTTGAATCCAATAATGTGAACCTTTGCCTTCAAAAGCCATATTAATCAAAAATTACTTGCTTTCAAATAGCCTGAGAATAATAAACGTAAAGGGTCCTAAGCCCAGGAAAAATATCAGGTGATAGATAAATATCTTGAAGAATAGATCCATTTTGAATGTTGTGAAAGTGTCCTTAATGATGAGGTCCTCTTTATTAAAAGGATCATCGCATATTTGATTTATCTATTTCTAAAACATTTAAAGTATCTAGTTTTATAGAAGTTTCCCTTTGACTTGATTACCAATTTTATCGTCTAAATCTTAATGTGTGAATTTGATTACCTATGGTTACAATATCATTTACTTCTCACTATAATGTTTAATTGATTTTCTATTATTAAATTCTTACATTTTATCAAAACTTTTTTCCACAGCATCTTGATATGGGTTGGTGAAGTTAATTTAATCCTCTTCATATTGATTGATTAGATTATCAAGTGAATACTTAATCTCTGTTCTCTCAAGATTCACATCACTTTCGCTTTATGATATAATTGGCTCTATTTTGACAACTTCTTCTTAGTTTAAAGTATTTAATCTAGAAGAAAGTTTTTAATTATTCATTGAATTTATATAATTAACTGTTTTTATTATTTATTTGATTTAAGATTACGTGTATTAAATTTGAGAACTTGGGGTTTTGGGGTTTTGGGG